TACGTTCACACGGGATGGGACAAATTTTCGACAAGCTGGAAAATTTGAACGGACACTCAATGTCCTCACGAGACTGTTTGATATTTTCGCTCTGTTCTCAAGAAATTTTGAACTGCTAAGCGTATAAATTTTCTTTCGTAATTTCCGTGTGAACGGAACGCCTGAACGCACGAATTTCAACCGTCCAAAAATTCAACCGGTGCCGTCAGCCTTAGCCTGCGGTGCAGCCGGCCCACGTATCGCATATAGTGTCGATATAAACAAGGTTTAAAGGGTCTGCGCGCAGGCTACGTCAGCCTGTGCCGTGTCCAGGTAGCCTCGGTTGATATTAGCCTGTATACAGACCCCCTACCTATCCCCTCAGTAAAAATCGGAGAGTAACAGCCAATCTAGCGTGCGTAGCAAGCGTTTCTGTGCGGTTTAGGAGAAGAGAACGAGGAACGAGAATCAAAGACCGCGAGAAAAGTGGCGCAATCGGAAACGCTTACTACGCAGGCTACAGCCGATCAAATCATTTTCCACAGATTCCGGGAAAAATCACGTGGTCTCCATACACAATTGGCAACGGTAAATCACAGACGCCCTTCTCCGATTTTTACTAAGGGCGGCGGGGACGGGGGTAGGCAGGGGGGGGGCTGGTCTGTCAACAGGCTAGGGTATTAGGTGTTATGAGTTTTTAAAACAACGAGATCAAAAAGTTGAAGCTCTTTTAAAGAACAAGTGATTTTCAAGGCAGTCTAATCAAAGATTGATTTTGATTGGATCAATTAAGTGTTTTATTGACAAAATCTAATGAATATTAAGCTACAAAATTATTGATATCTACATCGTTGTCTGTTGAACGTAAGAAATAAGAGATCTTCAATAAGACTGCAAGGTTTCTAAAGGAGCCAAAATTTTAAAGCATNGACCCCCTACCTATCCCCTCAGTAAAAATCGGAGAGTAACAGCCAATCTAGCGTGCGTAGCAAGCGTTTCTGTGCGGTTTAGGAGAAGAGAACGAGGAACGAGAATCAAAGACCGCGAGAAAAGTGGCGCAATCGGAAACGCTTACTACGCAGGCTACAGCCGATCAAATCATTTTCCACAGATTCCGGGAAAAATCACGTGGTCTCCATACACAATTGGCAACGGTAAATCACAGACGCCCTTCTCCGATTTTTACTAAGGGCGGCGGGGACGGGGGTAGGCAGGGGGGGGGCTGGTCTGTCAACAGGCTAGGGTATTAGGTGTTATGAGTTTTTAAAACAACGAGATCAAAAAGTTGAAGCTCTTTTAAAGAACAAGTGATTTTCAAGGCAGTCTAATCAAAGATTGATTTTGATTGGATCAATTAAGTGTTTTATTGACAAAATCTAATGAATATTAAGCTACAAAATTATTGATATCTACATCGTTGTCTGTTGAACGTAAGAAATAAGAGATCTTCAATAAGACTGCAAGGTTTCTAAAGGAGCCAAAATTTTAAAGCATTTTAACTTTGGTAACATTTTATCCACTTCTTGTGCTCAAAGTAGAAGAATAAAATTCATGTACGGTGGGTTTCACTTCAAAAGGATGTGGAGAGGTGATCTACTAAAGGTTAAAAAAAAGGTTAAAGGCTTGTTTACAGTGAAAGGTGCACTTAGCTTATCCAGCTAGTTTACAGGCGCACCACTTAAATACTTAGAAACAAATAATTCAAATACAAATGACAGCGTTAAAAACCCCAACTGGCAGGAGGCAACCAGTTGGCTATTTACAAGTGTGGCCGAGGGCTTGAACTTGGGACAATCGAGGAACAAATCCAGCTAGTGGTGACCCGGGACCGCCGGATTGTGAGTCCAACGCAATGACCACTCAGCCACGCTGCCTCCTTCTATGTCTAATGATGTGAAAGCTATGAGCTAGGAAGGGTATTGTTTTTAAAGAGTTTTTTTTAAGATGCAGTATAGAAATATGACCAAATCAGGAATTGAAGTTACAAAAGTGTAGTCATCAGTGACCCTTTCCCAAAGGATAGGAAAGTTGGTACTTTTATCATTGTGTAAATGGATGAAAAAGGGGCTGGAGTCAAGAATCCTATCCATTGATTAATAAAAAAAAGGTATTGTTAAGAAACAGTACTTTATAGCAACTGCATACATCTTGAGTAAAATGGGTTTATAAATCTGGATCCATCACCAAATTGCTCAATGGATAGTTAACAATAGTCTAGGGCTTAGTTCCTGAAAGGCTCATAAGTGCTAATCCAAGACTAAAATTTGAATATCTCACTAAATAGGGTTTCAGGGAGTAACTTTGGAACTTTGTAGAGTAATTTTGGAGTTAAGGCTCACCATCATATTATAAGCTAATCTTACAAACTGTAACCATCTTTCAAGGAACCAGGCCCTGGGTTAACTACAAACCAAGGTACTTGCCATATTTGGGTTGTCATGGTAACTAAGCCTGGATTGCCTCAAATTTAATGTCTTCAGAACTCGGGCTAGCTGTTGTTGGATCATTATACGTTTCTGGGAAGCTGCCCTTCTACTCCTCCCCTAAGCCAACATTAACACTTACTTCAATCACTTGGGGCAAAATGTTGGCTTAGGGGAGGGGTAGGTGGGCAGTTTCCAAGTATTTTCAACCATACTGGGTTTCCCCACAACCATGATTCGATTGACATTGAATCTAACAATTAGAATCAAAAGTTTACATAAAAATTTGCCTTCTGATAATCATCAGTTTTGCATCAAACCAACTGAAACATCATTCATCTTTTGAAAATGGAAAGCTTGCCTTAAATAAAGAAAATGGCAAATTAAATGAATGGTAAAGTCATTTTTAAAAAGGTCCTACTTTATATGCTCAGAGAAATTTAATTACATAATCATTACTGAATAGAACTTGCATAATGAATACTGTGGAGCTCAAAAATATTTTAAATTTACAAGTGCCACTGCCAAAGTAATAATAACAATAATACCGTAAAATTCCGAAAATAAGCCCCCGGGCTTATATTTTTCAAAGGCCCTTTTTGAGGGGCTTATTTTTGGAGGGGCTTATATTCCGAGGGGCTTATCTACGGAGGGAAATTTGTGTTTGAAAATCGATTGGGGTAGCTTGCAGTGGGAAGGAAATTTACCATTTTTGCTTTGTTTTACTTTGTATTTGAGGGCAAATTCCAAGTACAAGCCCCCCGGGGGGCTTATATTCGGAGGGGCGATTTAACGGAGGGTTTTTTGCGTTACGATTTTGGGGGGCTTATATTTGGAGGGGCTTATACATGGAGGGGCTTATTTTCNTTTTATTGACAAAATCTAATGAATATTAAGCTACAAAATTATTGATATCTACATCGTTGTCTGTTGAACGTAAGAAATAAGAGATCTTCAATAAGACTGCAAGGTTTCTAAAGGAGCCAAAATTTTAAAGCATTTTAACTTTGGTAACATTTTATCCACTTCTTGTGCTCAAAGTAGAAGAATAAAATTCATGTACGGTGGGTTTCACTTCAAAAGGATGTGGAGAGGTGATCTACTAAAGGTTAAAAAAAAGGTTAAAGGCTTGTTTACAGTGAAAGGTGCACTTAGCTTATCCAGCTAGTTTACAGGCGCACCACTTAAATACTTAGAAACAAATAATTCAAATACAAATGACAGCGTTAAAAACCCCAACTGGCAGGAGGCAACCAGTTGGCTATTTACAAGTGTGGCCGAGGGCTTGAACTTGGGACAATCGAGGAACAAATCCAGCTAGTGGTGACCCGGGACCGCCGGATTGTGAGTCCAACGCAATGACCACTCAGCCACGCTGCCTCCTTCTATGTCTAATGATGTGAAAGCTATGAGCTAGGAAGGGTATTGTTTTTAAAGAGTTTTTTTTAAGATGCAGTATAGAAATATGACCAAATCAGGAATTGAAGTTACAAAAGTGTAGTCATCAGTGACCCTTTCCCAAAGGATAGGAAAGTTGGTACTTTTATCATTGTGTAAATGGATGAAAAAGGGGCTGGAGTCAAGAATCCTATCCATTGATTAATAAAAAAAAGGTATTGTTAAGAAACAGTACTTTATAGCAACTGCATACATCTTGAGTAAAATGGGTTTATAAATCTGGATCCATCACCAAATTGCTCAATGGATAGTTAACAATAGTCTAGGGCTTAGTTCCTGAAAGGCTCATAAGTGCTAATCCAAGACTAAAATTTGAATATCTCACTAAATAGGGTTTCAGGGAGTAACTTTGGAACTTTGTAGAGTAATTTTGGAGTTAAGGCTCACCATCATATTATAAGCTAATCTTACAAACTGTAACCATCTTTCAAGGAACCAGGCCCTGGGTTAACTACAAACCAAGGTACTTGCCATATTTGGGTTGTCATGGTAACTAAGCCTGGATTGCCTCAAATTTAATGTCTTCAGAACTCGGGCTAGCTGTTGTTGGATCATTATACGTTTCTGGGAAGCTGCCCTTCTACTCCTCCCCTAAGCCAACATTAACACTTACTTCAATCACTTGGGGCAAAATGTTGGCTTAGGGGAGGGGTAGGTGGGCAGTTTCCAAGTATTTTCAACCATACTGGGTTTCCCCACAACCATGATTCGATTGACATTGAATCTAACAATTAGAATCAAAAGTTTACATAAAAATTTGCCTTCTGATAATCATCAGTTTTGCATCAAACCAACTGAAACATCATTCATCTTTTGAAAATGGAAAGCTTGCCTTAAATAAAGAAAATGGCAAATTAAATGAATGGTAAAGTCATTTTTAAAAAGGTCCTACTTTATATGCTCAGAGAAATTTAATTACATAATCATTACTGAATAGAACTTGCATAATGAATACTGTGGAGCTCAAAAATATTTTAAATTTACAAGTGCCACTGCCAAAGTAATAATAACAATAATACCGTAAAATTCCGAAAATAAGCCCCCGGGCTTATATTTTTCAAAGGCCCTTTTTGAGGGGCTTATTTTTGGAGGGGCTTATATTCCGAGGGGCTTATCTACGGAGGGAAATTTGTGTTTGAAAATCGATTGGGGTAGCTTGCAGTGGGAAGGAAATTTACCATTTTTGCTTTGTTTTACTTTGTATTTGAGGGCAAATTCCAAGTACAAGCCCCCCGGGGGGCTTATATTCGGAGGGGCGATTTAACGGAGGGTTTTTTGCGTTACGATTTTGGGGGGCTTATATTTGGAGGGGCTTATACATGGAGGGGCTTATTTTCGGAATTTTACGGTATATTTTATTATTATTGTAAAATCTCTATAATAAATTTTGATTAATAATTGATTATTCCATCTTTGAGCCATTTATACCAAGAAGAAGTTGGGTATTCGTTTCATAAAACTGGAACATGTCTTTCAAGCTTCTATTTCCATCAACAACCTGAAATAGATAAATAATGTATAATTTAAGTGGACATAACAAGCAACATAATAATTTTACTTCCAACAGGGAGAAAATATTTTTTTTGGTTACCATTTGCTTGGGCAACCAGTCAGTTCACAGTTTGAGCAAACGGAAAAAAAAAATACAGGAATGGTAAATTTTTGGGGGGAATTGCATTTAACATTTGCATCAAACTCATGAATGGTGATGACCAATAGAATGCCATGGCACAAAGAAAGTGAGTTTTACTCCTTGCCCCTTGGGCAAACTGTAGCTAGCACGTTTATTAAAGCCTGACAGTTACTTTAACGAGCCCAGAAAATTAGTACTATTAATAAATAATTAATTTACTATTATTTATTCAGAATTGGAACAATAACTGTAGTAACATTTTATTTCACACTGTCAGTAGCTTTTGATCCAGGAATTTAAATAATTTGTCTTAAAGTACTTCTATAGTAATTTCCAAAGAACCTCTACTTGCCAGTCAGGCAAGTTAAGAACAGAACTTGCTAGTCTGATCGAAAACTCCACTGGCCCCGTGCTATCACACACAACTCTCTTTGCACAATCTTCTTTAATACATTCCATGCCAGCAACACTTACCACTACTGGAGCAGGAACATGAAATTTGCTCTTTTTTATGAGCCATTCTTCATATCTCTCATGTAAAGAATCAAGTAATTCCTTTAAGAAAAGAAGAAAAAAAAAATCATCACTACTTTTTTTTTCACATCGCCTAAAAATAAAACCATGGTTCAAAAAAGGTTGGAAATGTAATAAAATAACTCTTACCATTGATACTGATGTTTCCTCATCTCTAGATCTTCTCTTTATCCTTTCCATACACTTTTCGGGTGATGTTCGTAGGTATACTAAAAGTCACCATAACATTAGTTAGACAAAAAATATTATATCAATGCCAGAGTATCGCCATATTTACAAGGTGTCACCCCAAAATTTCTTCCAGAGTCTCAAAAGTTAGAAATGTATTGGAAGTCATCATCATCACCACCATCAACGATAACAACAATAATAACAAAATCGACAATAATAATAATAGTAACAATAAGTGGACAAATTTTCTGTCGGAAATGGGTCAGACAAAGCAATAGTAAAATAGAAGCAATAGAATGGTGACCGGAAGTCAATCTTCTTCCTCTATCGGGGCTGCGACTCAGAAAGTTCGTTATCATACTACAGTAATATTGCTAAAACAAAGGCATTCTAACTCACTGTTTCAGACAGAAAAAAAGCGAAACAAATGGTTGCTATTTATGACGTCTGGGATTTTTGCTTGAGCTTGCTTTTGAGTTAATTGGTGCCAAACAGTGCTACATGTAAGATAGAAAAGAAGGACACACAAGAGGAAGGCACTGTTCTCAGTCTCAAAGTAGATTGATTGAAAAGATTTTGTTAACCTTGTACATGTACATTGAAACTGTCTTTTTCAAAAGAACATGCATTTATGCCTTACTGGCCAGTAGCTATTAATATTATGATGTAAAAACAGCACAAAACACTTTCTGCAAACCTATTAAGTCTATATGTGGCTTCTCATGGGACATGAGGTATTCAAACCACTCTTGAAAGACTGTGTACTCCAGTGTTGACAATGTACCACTGTAATGAAAGATTAATACAAGAAAATGAATTATAGAGACAAAATGATGGAGGATACTAAAATCAGAATACTTCAATTCATTCTACATGTACCATTATGTTAGCTACATAAAGCAGACTACTAAATCTCCAAATTCTACAGTTCAGCCTTTTTAAGTGACGAATAATTGAGTTGTTTAGCTTTTATCACTTAAGCTCTCCCCTGAATGCCTCCAGACCCCCCTTAGTTCCCTCAAGAACACTTGCTAGGATAAGCACTGGAGTCATCTCCTTACAACATACTTCTTGAAACACTTTGAGAAGGCAACGAACCCGCTGTAAATAGCACTTGGTTATGTTATAGGTTTACCTTCTATGAAGATTTTCCATGAAGCAGAAGCTTGCACTGTATGCACTCCTCTCCAGGAGCCTCACAGGTGAAGTCTAAGGCACAATGAAATTGAAACTGTCAACAATCAATAACATACAAGATGGATTGACATGAGACAAAATCCTAATAACTGTGTGGCATATACACTGTAGGTAGTGCTGACTGTGTGTTTGTAAAGTAGGGGTAACTCACTTTCATAAAGGCAGTGCTCAGAGAAGAGAATAGGGGAGGGGGAGGGGGAAAGCTCTAAACCTATGTGCAGGGCTCAAACAATTTCCTGTCTCGTAGTGCAAATTTTCTTGCTGTACAAGTGATATTAACAGCATTAGGCCAATGGGCAAAGGTTTAGGCAAGTCATTCTCTTGCAAAATGACAAGCTGGAATTCAATATTTTTTTTGGCCCTGCTATAAAATCTAGCTAAGTGTAAGATCATGTCTTATATGTGTTACAGGTCAAAATAAAATTCAAGTTAAATTTTTACTTTTTAACCTCGGTTGATATTTCTCTCTTTCTTTTGTCGCCTAGCCATTCATGAATCGGCGCGAGAAGACAAAGGAAATTGAGAATCAACCTAGGTTAAAAAAATAATTAATGTCAACCTGAATTTCTTTTTGACCTGTAACATATATGCAAGAAAATGAATTTCCTGGTCATCAAAGAGTGAGAATAAATAACCAGGGGCCACCAGGCACTACGAGAGCAAAGCCCAAGTATAAGAAACTCAGGTGAAAAGGAAATCTGAAAAGACACCAATCAACCTGTGCTTGATCAGTGACTTTAAGGAAGACATGATACCTGAGGTCTGTGATGTACTTCCATCATTGTAAGAAGAACATATGACTCAAACAAGTAACTCCACCTCTTTGGATCACTGTACATAAGATCCTGTTAAAAAACAAAGAATAACAAATAGTGAGACATTGTTTAGCCTGCGCAGCTGGCGATATTGTGTGATTAAAGTTTTGGCGGCAGAGCCGCAATCCAAAAAAAGGAGTGGGGACGAGGCGTTTGGTATTTCTCATGGCTTTGCTACTTGTGGCAGCTCCGCCGCCAACTCTCACTTAACTGGTACAGCGGCTCCGCCGCCAAATCTCACTCACCTAGTACACAATACCGCCAGCTACGCAGGCTACACATTGTTATGGAACACAATGCAGCTCAGTCAAAATGTTTTACAGTAGTAGGCACGATAACCAAAGTAGCAGGTGGCAAAGCCCTTTAATTATGTGATTTTTATATGATATTATCAAATTAATAGCATACTTGAGTTGGCAGCAAATATCTGACTTGAAACAGCAAAATCACTGGCTTTTGGCAAGTAAATGTAGTAGAAAGTCAGTGACCAAAAAACATCTGTCAATTCAGTCGCCAATACAGCCAACTTGGTGTATAAAGCACTTTAATAGGAGCTGAGCACTTAATAAAAGTGACAACAATACGAGAATTCTCGCCGTCTCGCTGAAATGGCCAAAAGGTGGCCATGGCCACCTGATAGAGGCATCCACTTAACAGAGGGTTGATTTACAATAAAATTTTAAAAAAAAATTATTAAATTCTACAATCATTTTGGGACTTTGATCACTGACTGCTTAATAAAGGGTGGCTGCTTAGTGAAGGTTCAACAGTATTCTCAATTTTTTCCATATAATGTTATCTATTTATGAAAACTAATTTTTACCAGAGTATTGGCACCACCAACATTCTGCCATTTCTTCACTGGCTCTTCAATGACCTGGTTAGAAAGTAAATATTCCTTTATTAAAGTAGCCTTGAGATATCCACCAATATTGTCACAAATATTGTATAATGATTATATAACAGTGTTTGAAGGCAAAGAACCATGCCTAGTGACCAGTGTCACATCTCTGATCCATAATCCAATTTCTTTCTTTTTTCTTAACATGACAACATTAAACTAACATGATTGCTATTAAATCTGCAATCCAGAAATTGTCCAGTTAGCTTGTGACATTGCATGTAGAGTATACCTCCACTGACGAGTTTTCCTTGAAGTACTTCAACAGACTTGTCTTCCCACTTCCAATATTTCCTTCTATTGCAACCTAGTAAAAGGTAGTAAGAAACAAGAGTTTCCATTTTGTTTCATTAACTGACAGTTTTATCATGTTAGATGCAAAACTATTGAAACCTCGATCTTTAATGTAAACGGAGACAGCTTACCGGGCCCGTTATTTATCGGGACTTTCGAGAAACGCGCTCCAGGCCCTGGGTTAACTACAAACCAAGGTACTTGCCATATTTGGGTTGTCATGGTAACTAAGCCTGGATTGCCTCAAATGTATTGTCTTCAGAACTCGGGCTAGCTGTTGTTGGATCATCATACGTTTCTGGGAAACTGCCCTTCTACTCCTCCCCTAAGCCAACATTAACACTTACTTCAATCACTTGGGGCAAAATGTTGGCTTAGGGGAGGGGTACTGGGTTTCCCCTCAACCATGATATGATTGACATTGAATCTAACAATTATTAGAATCAAAAGTTTCCATAAAAATTTGCCTTCTGATAATTATCAGTTTTGCACCAAACCAACTGAAATATCATTCATCTTTTGAAAATGGAAAGCTTGCCTTAAAATGGCAAATAAAATGAATAGTAAAGTCATTTTTAAAAAGGTCCTACTATGCTCAGAGAAATTTAATTAAATAATCATTACTGAATAGAACTTGCATAATGAATACTGTGGAGCTCAAAAAAAATTTAAATTTACAAGTGCCACTGCCAAAGTAATAATAACAATGATATATTTTATTATTATTGTAAAATCTCTATAATAAATTTTGATGAATAATTGATTATTCCATCTTTGACCCATTTATACCAAGAAGAAGTTGGGTATTCGTTTCATAAAACTGGAACATATCTTTCAAGCTTCTATTTCCATCAACAACCTGAAACAGATAAATAATGTAGAATGTAAGAGGACATAAGAAGCAACATAACAATTTCACTTCCAACAGGGAGAAAAAAATTTTTTTTGGTTACCATTTGCTTGGGCAAACAGTCAGTTCACAGTTTGAGCAAACGAAAAAAAAAAAAACTGATACAGGAGTGTTAAATTTTATTTGGGAATTGCATTTAACATTTGCATCAAACTCATGAATGGTGATGACCAATAGAATGCCATGGCACAAAGAAAGTGAGTTTTACTCCTTGCCTCTTGGGCAAACTGTAGCTAGCACAATTACTTTAACATTAGTACTATTGATAAATAATTAATTTACTATTATTATTTTATTCAGAATTGGAACAAATAACTGTAATAACATTTTATTTCACACTGTCAGTAGCTTTTGATCCAGGAATTTAAATAATATGTCTTAAAGTACTTCTATAATTGTATTTCCAAAGAACCTCTACTTGCCACTCAGGCAAGTTAAGAACAGAACTTGCTAGTCTGATCAAAACTCCACCAGCCTGTGCTATCACACACAACTCTCTTTGCACAATCTTCTTTATGTTGTACATGTCAATGCATTCCATGCCAGCAACACTTACCACTACTGGGGCAGGAACATGAAATTTGCTCTTTTTTATGAGCCATTCTTCATATCTCTGATGTAAAGAATCAAGTAATTCCTTTTAAGAAAAGAAGAAAAAAAAATCATCACAACTTTTTTTTCACATCAGCTAAAAATAAAACCATGGTTCAAAAAAGGTTAACTAGGATGCAATAATTAATATGTGAAATGTAATAAAATAACTCTTACCATTGATACTGATGTTTCCTCATCTCTAGATCTTCTCTTTATCCTTTCCATACACTTTTCAGGGGATGTTCTTAGGTATACTAAAAGTCAACATAACATTAGTTAGACAAAAAATATTATATTAATGCCAGAGTATGGCCATATTTACAAGGTCTCACCCCAAAAATTTCTTCCAGAGTCTCAAAAGTTAGAAATGTATTGGAAGTCATCATCACCATCATCAATGATAACAATAATAATAACAAAATCACTAACAATAATAATAACTATAAGTGGACAAATTTTCTGTGGGAAATGGGTCAGACAAAGCAATAGTAAAATAGAAGCAATAGAATGGTGACCCAAAGTTGATCTTCTTCCTCTGTCAGGGCTCTGACTGAGAAAGTTCGTTATCATACTACAGTAATATTGCTAAAACAAAGGCATTCTAACACACTGTTTCAGGGCTCAAAGTTAGCGACTAACTGGGCACATATGCTACTGGATTTTTGGTTGTGCGCCTAGAAATTCATGTGTAATCGCACCTGTGCCCCATAAAACCCAAAGCACAGTGCGACTGACTTGCTTCCGAGTATGCTTAAGAACTTGAGCTAGAAAAGACGGTGTGTGTTTAATAAATTGGTGTTTTCTCCCAATGGATTCCACAAACTCAAATGTTCTTTTTCGTTTTGATGTTTTAGTCCATCCCAGACTCTTCTGTTTTGTTACGAACGAAACACATGCTTTTTTCGCAATGGACGATCATGTCGAAAGTTCAGTTTTAAGGTCAATAAAAAAAAAAAACAGTGCAGATTAAGAGCCTTTTTCCCAGGTAAGAAAGTTTTAAAGTCATATCCCAGTTACATGTAGGTCATTGCGCATTTAACAAATCATTAAATATTAATTTTCATTCTTGTCGACACACTGGTTGTTGTCAGTTTTGAATTTTTTTTCAAGTGTAAGTTTTCTTTAGTCACAACTGTACCGTCCAAAAAAAAATCAGTATTAAAAATCACAATGGTAATATTGCGTAGCAAATCGGCTGAGTTTTATCAATCAATGGACTGAAGTAAAAGTAACAAACTGAAAATGACAAATAAACGTGGCACTGTTTAGCTTTTTACTCTTTCTTTTGAATTAGATGCTCCCAACATTATAAGCTGTGCTCCTAAAATTTTCAGCTGTGTGCCTAAAAATTTACATCTGGTAGTACAAGTGCTCCCAAAGTCAAATTTAAACTTTGAGCCCTGTGCTTCAGAAAAAAAAAAAGCAAAACAAGTGGTTGCTATTTATGATGTCTGGGATTTAAGCATTCTTGTTGTTGCTTAAGCTTGCTTTTGAGTTAATTATTGGTGCCAAACAGTGCTACATGTAAGATAGAAAAGAAGGACACACAAGAGGAAGGCACTGTTCTCAGTCTCAAAGTAGATTGACTGGAAAGTTTTTGTTAACCTTGTACAAACTGTCTTTGTTGGAAGAACATGCATTTATGCCTTACTTGCCAATAGCTATTAATATTATGGTGTAAAAACAGCACAAAACACTTTCTCCAAACCTATTAAGTCTATATGTGGCTTCTCATGGGACATGAGGTACTCAAACCACTCTTGAAAGACTGTGTACTCCAGTGTTGACAATGTACCACTGTAACAAAAGAGTAATGCAAGAAAATAAATTATAGAGACAAAATGATGGAGGATACTAAAATCAGAATACTTCAATTCATTCTACATGTAGCATTATATTAGCTACATAAAGCAAACTACTAAATCTCCACATTTTACAGTTTAGCCTTTTAAAGTGACTGCTAATTGAGTTGTTTAGCTTTTATCACCTAAGCTCTGCCCTGAATGCACCCCATATTGTCCCCCACAAAGGGATGGGGGGGGGGGGGGGGTATGCTTCCAGACCCCCCTTAGTTTCCTTAAGAACACTTGCTAGGATTAGCACTGGAGTCATCTCCTTACAACACACTTCTTGAAACACTTTGAGAAGGCTACGAACCTGCTGTAAATAGTGGTTGGTTATGTTATAGGTTTACCTTCTATGGAGATTTTCCATAAAGCAGAAGCTTGCACTGTATGCACTCCTCTCCAGGAGCCTCACAGGTGAAGTCTAAGGCACAAAGAAATTGAAAATGTCAACAATCAATAACATACAAGATGGACATGAGGCAAAATCCTAATAATCACTAATAGGTAGTGATTACTGCGTGTTTGTAAAGTAGGCGTAACTCACTTTCATAAAGGCAGTGCTTAGAGAAAAGAATAGGGGAGGGGGAGGGGGAAAGCTCTAAACCTATGTGCAGGGCTCAAACAATTTCCTGTGTCACAGTGCAAATTTTCTCGCTGTACAAGTGAAATTAACAACATTAGGCCAATGGGCAAAGGTCTAGGCAAGTCATTCTCTTGCAAAATGACAAGCTGGAATTCAATTTCTTTTTGGCCCTGCGATAAAATCTACAGTCTCAGTCAAAATTGTGGGGACACTTTTGCGTCTCCTTGTCCCCTCAATGTTGGTGCACAAGGTTTGGTGACTGAAACGCGATAAACAACTTTGAGAGGGACAGGGGGAGCACGAGAAGGAAAAAAACAGCGTTTGGTTAAAGTGTCCCAACTATTTTTGTCTGAGACTGTAGCTAAGTGTAAGATCATGTCTTAAATGTGTTACAAGTCAAAATAAAATTCAAGTTAAATTTTTATTTTTTAACCTTGGTTGATTCTCTCTTTTTTTTGTCTCCTAGCCATTCATGAATTGGGGCGAGAAGACAAAGGAAATTGAGAATCAACCTAGGTTAAAAAATTTCAACCTGAATTTCATTTTGACCTGTAACTATGGAAGAAAACGAATTTCCTGGTCATCTAAGAGTGAAAATAAATAACCAGGGACCACGAGGCACTACAAGAGCAAAGCCCAAGTATTAGAAACTCAGGTGAAAAGGAAATATGAAAAGACACCAATCAACCTAGCTTGATCAGTGACTTTAAGGAAGACATGATACCTGAGGCCTGTGATGTACTTCCATCATTGTAAGAAGAACATAAGACTCAAACAAGTAACTCCACCTCTTTGGATCACTGTACATAAGATCCTGTTAAAAAAATGTATAACAAAATTAATAGTGAGACACATTTTTGTGGAACACAATGCAGCTCAGTCAAAATGTTTTACAGTAGTAGGCAGGACAACCAAAGTAGCAAGTGGCAAAGCCCTTATTACTTGATACTATCAAATTAATAGCATACCATAAAATTCCAAAAAATAAGCCCCAGGGCTTATATTTTTCAAAGGCCATTTTTGAGGGGCTTATTTTTGTCCAGTGACTTATATTTGGAGGGGTTTATGTACGGAGGGAAATTTGGGCTTCAAAATCGATTGGGCTGGCTTATGGTTGGAAGGAAATTTACGGTTTTGCTTTGTTTTAAGTTGTATATGAGGGCAATTTCCTATTTAATTCTACAATCATTATGGGACTTTGATTACTGACTGCTTAATAAAGGGTGGCTGCTTAGTGAAGGTTCAACTGTATTCTCAATTTTTTCCATATAAAATTATCTATTATGAAAACTAATTTTTACCAGAGTATTGGCACCACCAACATTCTGCCATTTCTTCACTGGCTCTTCAATGACCTTGTTAGAAAGTAAATATTCCTTTATCAAAGTAGTCTTGAGATATCCACCAATATTATCACAAATAAGGTAAAATTAACAATTATTCGCAGAAGGCGAAGTTAATATTGTTGAATAATCCCAGAGACAAAGTCGAGGGGATTATTCAACAATATTAACTGAGCCTGAGGTGAATAATTGTTTTAGTATTATTCACACGAAGTGATCTCAACAGAATCAGAAAGGAAACCATTAAAAAACAATTAGTTTGATTGACGGGTGAATTCATGCGGGAAAGCGAAGCCGTAAACAGTGGATGCGCAAAAGTTAGATCTTTACAGTATCCTCAAACATGGCAAATGATGGTTTTAATCTTTGTGTATCGAGTTTTGTAAGCTTTAGTATCAGCGGTTTCGAAAGAAAATGCTGAAAATTTAAATTACTACCCAATTCTGAGAAGAAAAGTAGAGCTTTATTTGTTTCTGTCAACTCACCATGAATGAGAAAGTTTTCTTTGTCGCTTTTCTTGCAAATGCTGTCAACAGCGGCTACGATCAATGTGAGCGTTGTTTATCTCCAAAATTCTTTGCCTTGTTAACTTGCTGGCACATACAATTTCAGAAGTATTTGCCTTCCTCTTTTCTCCATAAATTAACTTCTATTTATAGGCAAAATTGGTCTTGCGAGAAAATCCCGAAATCACAAAACAGTGAAAAAGCAACCTCGTTTTCCTCTGTAGTGGTAAACATAGCTTCGAGCGTACAAAAAGTCAGCTACAGTAAACCACTTCACAATAAATCACGCTGTTTAAACACCGTGAAGTCTTTTCTTGCCCTCAAAGTCATCAGCACTTGGATATTCGTGTATTTTCAAAAAGGCTTTACTATGAAACTTTGGCAAAACACCCAGTTCAAGACAGCAATTTTGTTCTGCTTTATATTCACCGCCTAGCACGGTGAATATAACGTCATAGTCCGAGATAGCTAACCAATCAAATTGCTTGAATTACCAAGATCACTGAGGGTGTATATACTAATGATAATAACAGTGTTTAAATGCAAAGAACCATGCCCAGTGATCAGTGTCACATCTCTGATCCTTAATCCAATTTCTTTCTTTTTTCTTAACATGACAACATTACACTGACATGATTACTATTAAATCTGCAATCAAGAAATTGTCCAGTAAGCTTGTGACATTGCATGTAGAGTATACCTCCACTGACGAGTTTTCCTTGAAGTACTTCAACAGACTTGTCTTCCCACTTCCAATATTTCCTTCTATTGCAACCTAGTAAAAGGTAGTAAGAAACAAGAGTGTATTTATTAAATAATATTATGAGGAAAAACAAGAAGTGTCTTAAAAACAGACACAATATATCCTAAAAAATATACTTCCATTAAAAATTTAATGGTGAATAAAATGACTTGGTGTCTTCAATAAGATCAGGACTCGGAAAAAACTTGTCCTATGGGAAAAAACTTGTCCTATGGGCAAGCAGCTCCATCATTTTGCTAGCCCGGGGCCACTTCTTGCTTGTCCCACATAATGATTTTGTCCTGAGGATGACTTGCCTGGACCCTTGCCCATTAGGTAAGTAAACTTCTAAAGTTACTTGCCCAGCATGAAAGTGTATTTGTCCCGGAACACCGGACGGGACTTTTTTCGAGCCCTGAAGATGAACTTACAGGGTTTGCAAATTTTATTGATGAGTGGAGTCAGTGTGACTTCTGCTTCACAAATTTTAGAGTCATTTTGGAATATTTGGAGTCAAGTATCAGACTTTCCAGCACGTGGTCCCGGCATGTATACACTATCGTGAGGGATAAACGAAGTGGCTGTGGCGGTCCACTGACCTGGAAAGCTCAAATTCATGATAGCAGTCATCGAGTAATAAAACTTTGATCATAATTTACCCTCCTCCTGTTTGGTTGTGGAGTATAATTCTTTAATTTCGATGATTTAATTAAGGTTTACAACGTTTACAATTAACGTAAATTGTATTTGTTGCGAAAAAGGTAAGGACAAAACTGTGTTTGTTACCAAAAATTTCTACAGTCGAAGTGGCTCCTTGTTTGTTACTGAAAATTTTTGGAGTCGAAGTGACTCCCTTCATAACCTCAGTGGAGTCATCTGAACAATTTTGGCATAAAATACACCAAATTTGGCGTATTTGCGAACCCTGAACTTAGCTAAGAGGTGTCTAACTGTAGTGTGTTTCAATTTTATCCTCAGCTTAACTTTTATTTTCCTTTGTTATAAACTCATTATCTTGTATTACCATATCAAAAAACAAAGGAAAATATTTAAATTTTACATGTATTTGCAAAGAAATATTTGGCATTGCATTTTTAATTCATATGCATGCAATGTTTTTACTCACTGTGATATTTCTTTTTCCTGAATGACCATTCTCTCCATGGAAACCATTACAACCGTTATTGTTTCCAATCATCTTTTTTGATAGAAAACCTAAAACATAATTTACACAGAAATTTTGAAATTTTACATTTAGATTTAAAAATTTGTCATTAAGCCCAAAAAGTATAACCAGGACTTTGAAGAAATGTAAGACTTCTTTTGCAAAATTACCTTGTAAAAGTCCCTGGAGCATCAGTTCAAAATTTTACACAATTTTAAAAAACAACAACATGAGCAAGGAGTCAAATTCTGCAGTCCTGCGGTACGTTGTTCAAAACGTGCTTTCCAGCGGATAAATCACATTGACTATTCAGTGGAAAGGTATGGACAGCGATTTATCCGCTGGTCTTTTGTTCTTCAATGAAATCAAGTAAAATGTTCCGATACATCTAAAAAGCGCGAGCCTCTAGAAGAAGGAATTACTAAGAAACCCTTCGGAAATTGCAAAACGCAATGGAGGGCTGAGATCCATGTCCGCGTTCAACGAAGGCTGACGACTACAAAGTGCGCGAGAAATCTTATTCATCACTGTTAACGTTATGACTCATCTCATAGCTGCCAAATATAAAGGCAAATCATTCAAAATAAACATAAATATCACTAACCAAACGGAAAGCTTTTTTCGCCCCGCATTTTCGTGTGTATAATTCACTTGAACATCAGTTCAGGGACGATAATGCATTCAGCTTTTGAAATACGCGCGCAAAATTTCGACCAAGCGAAGCTTGAGTTCTCATTTTTGCCCGAGCTTGCCCGAATGACATCACATCGCACAGCGATAATGGGAAAAGTAAAATGGATCTCACCAAATAATTAAACCGTGAACTGAAGGAGCAAAAAGGACAAGAATTATCACTGTTACCTCTCAAACTTGTCTTTGAAGTTCTTGCTAACGGCGCGAATAACGAGCTCATTGCATATTTTACGAGCGTCATTATCCTTCAGCCAGCGGATTCCTGATAGTACATCACACTCTGATCACACCTGTCATTCTGATGTCACGTAAACAAATCACAACAATTGTGTCACGCTACACACAATCCCTTGTTTTTGCAAAGATCTTTACGTGTAGTTTTCTAATAATGAAAAAAATAAAAAAAATACATCATAATACGTAGGTACAGCAGCTCAGTGATGGATAAAAATTATATCCCATACACACGCACTGTCTACAGTCTTGCAGAATATTGAATTATTTTAGAGATAACAAACTGGATTTACTTTACTGCACCATGGACATTATAACTGTCTCCCATTTACTTAAAAGAATATTTTTAATGCCAGTTTGACATATCTACAAAAATGATCGAATAAAAGGTAACATGATCGTACTTTTTCCATCTCGAAAACGGAAAGATTCTTACCTTTTTGGACGATTTACGTTCACCTGCCATTAATTTTGTTTCCGAGTTTCTGTTTTCACCTCACTTCGATAAAAGCATTACCGTTCGAACACATGTTTTCAGTGCGATTCAAAGCAGATTACTGTCAAAACGATTGCAATCAAATTTTCACGTGTATTTCTTCGAAGACCCAATCCCCAAGAGTCCAGAGCAGTGAGAAGTCTGGGAACTAACAAGTAAAATGGCCGATAAAGAAGGACGAAGTCCCTCTTTGTTTCAAAAGATAAAAAAGGATATTTCCGACTGGGTTCTCGTCTCTCCGGTTTTTAAAGCGGCTATTTATTGGCTGGTTATACTAACGGGGTCATTTCTACACGACTTTTTTCCTTTCCCTCAATCGTATCTCTCAAACAAGAGGAATGTATTCAACGTGTACTTTGTAAAGCTGGGCTGGGGTTGGACTCTTGGTCTTATGATTCCATTCATGTGCTTAACCTCGCTTGTATACACCTCTTGCGACCCGTTTGCGATGTTAAAGCACCTCAGCAGGTTGGCCGTGGGGACGNTCTCCGGTTTTTAAAGCGGCTATTTATTGGCTGGTTATACTAACGGGGTCATTTCTACACGACTTTTTTCCTTTCCCTCAATCGTATCTCTCAAACAAGAGGAATGTATTCAACGTGTACTTTGTAAAGCTGGGCTGGGGTTGGACTCTTGGTCTTATGATTCCATTCATGTGCTTAACCTCGCTTGTATACACCTCTTGCGACCCGTTTGCGATGTTAAAGCACCTCAGCAGGTTGGCCGTGGGGACGTTTGGTTGGTATTTTTGGGTGAACTTCTTTGTATTCTTTGAAGAGCAGACCGGTTTCTGTGAAGGAGAAGAAACGCTAACTTCTAAGAGGATTTGCCACCTTCAGGGATTTCACTGGGATGGATTTGACATATCAGGACACACGTTTCTCTTAACCTACAGTGCCCTTATCATTACCGAAGAACTCCAAGTCAAGCAATGGTTTAGCTCAACAAACTCAGAAACTGTCCCACCTCCGCATTTCAAGCACCTCAGCCCCCTCATAGCAGCTGTCATAGATGCGTTCTTCACCGGTTCAGCATTGTTACTTCTTCTGTGGGAATTCATGCTCGTTTGCACGACTTTGTACTTTCATACTGTTCTACAAAAGGTTTTTGGGGCTCTCATTGCCTTCTTTACGTGGTATATTACTTATGGAATTTGGTATAAAGAAAACCTGTCACCTGGGTTACCATGGACACTTACGTAGACGTAATTGATTGCACCAACATGTGTTTAATATAAATGTACTTACATTTGTTAACCAACGTAGCTACCCAAAAGTCGTCTTGCTAAAAGTTGTGTTGCGGAAACCCCTGAGTTAATCAAAGTTACACTGAAAGACATTGCCCCTGACTTATAGGTAGTTCATTTTAAAATGAATGTGTATTGGTCATGCTTCAAACACAAAAAAGAATACATATGAAAAGGTAGTGACTGCATGCCCATGTAAAGTAGCGGCTTCAAATCAACAACAATCAGCAACATATAACTTTGGGCAAGGTGTTTTTAGAGTGACTTGATTGTAAATTCTAAAGTTTTATTATTTTATTACGGTAGTCTCAGTCTTAAAATCATCTGAACAGTGAGAAAGTTATTCTGTCAAAAATACCTAGAAATGTGGTTATGTTAGTATCTTGACTGCAACAAGCATTACTGAATGCACCGTGAATGTTAAGATACATCAGTTCAATCCAAACGTCTTTGAATGTCCCAGAACTAATTCTCTTTGTTAGGACACACTATTACAGCTATTGTATTTAATGTGAGGTGGACATACAAAAACAAATATTTATTCCTTGCAGAAAAAGTTCTATTTTTATGTACCCCCTATTTTAATTATTTTTATCAGTAAACTTTTTTTTCCATAAACGTGAAATCCATTTTTTAAATATATGGAAAATGGATACAATCTTCCACATGCACTATTTAAGATTGATGTGAACTCTATAATGGCTATTGTTGAGTTGTTTTGTTTCTTATAAGACTCCTACACCCTAAAAGCACCAAAAGCAAATAAAGGCTCACGCATTTACTGGAAGCTAAAAAGTAATTATGCTTTTACAGATAATAGGGAAACCTAAAAGGGTGTCACTAGTTTCTGTCTTTTAAAGAATGACAGTTAGCTTGGGAGATTACAAACCACTGGACCTTTTTACCGATGCTATGCAATACTTAGCAATTACTGAATGAGGGTGAGTATCATCTAAAGAATTATGGAGACCAAGGAGGGTGTTATCCACCTAGGCCGCATTCTGGCTTCATTAAAATTTTTTTACTCTGAAACTTTCTTGAGAAACTTTCCCCATTTACTAATGGCGATCAATGAGGAAAACTACATCGTGTAACAGAACACCCGAGTCACCCAGGTGCTTGCTGATTGGCCAGAAAATTCTTATAGTAAACTTTCACCACGAACATTCTGTTGTCCCAACTAACTGCCTCCGGGTCTCCAAGGATGTATCACTACCAAAACAACTCAATCTCATCCCCAGGTCTTCTTGGTTAATGGTTCAATAATCTGGCAATCTGGCTGCACAATTGACATCATCACTTCAACATTGCAAAATTCTTACAAACTTGTTTAACTCCCATCACTGATATGCAATAAGTCAAACTGGGAGTTGCTGTGTTATCACATTATTCATATTACTCCCATGACTTCTACTGATACAACCAGGAGAAATTGGGTACTGATTCCTCTTGTTCCTTAACTGTAGTGATGACCATGATAGGGACAGGAGATGAGTGAAGCTTTAACAATCAAAGTACCTCTCTACTACAGACACTCTCAAGACTGTACCCAAAGATAGTCAACTTCAAATGACTTATACCTCTAAAATGCAAACACTTGGCTCTGTCCCTTTGATATCCATACTAGGGAGGTTTCACTGTCTAATGTATGCAAATACTTGAAACATTACTGGTACTTGAATTTTCATAGCCCCTCAGGGGGTAAGACCACACAGTTTTAGAACCATCAAAATTAAAACAAATTAGGTGTACAGACAGTTGGATAAAACCAACAAGGGAACAATAAGTCTGTCTCTTTTTTTCTCATTGATTTCAATCCTCTTTGCAATAAGCAGCTGGCTGAAGATGAAGAATGATAACCCAGATGGATAATTGGCCATTTATTTGAAGAAGTAGTTAAAGTGTTCATCGATTGTCCAAGACAACTATTGTTTCATAAGGTGAAAGTTCTACAAAGATGAAGCGATAGTCAAAATTGCCACGTGATCCCTGAAATAAAAGAAAACAATGCATTTCTGTGAAAAATTTACAGAATTTGCATATTCTGTCCAATTATTTCAAATACTGTATGTCTGTAAAACAAAATTATTTTAATAATGACCGCTTACATGTGGAGGTACAGGTAACTTATTTCTATCCGTAGCCATTAAAATAGGTATCCTGCATAAATGGCTATGCTACTGGGTTGAACAATTGCCATTAAAAAATCTGTGAAATTATGGTGGGGGTTCATATGTCATCAGATGGCAAACATGTTTGCCTAACTGCGGGCAGAAGTGCTCTTTCGTAAGATGACTTAATTTCAATAAAAAATAATTTTTCACACCAAGGAAAAGGAGAAGGAGTTTAGATGGAAAATAGTATTGTAAAGTGATACTAAGGAAAAAGTTCTAAATGCAGGCAGTAAAATCATTATTTTGTATGAGGTAGTTGCTAAAAAATCCAACAGAGGGGGCTCCTTATCCTCCTCCTCCTCCCAACCAGCTTCTGCCATTATTGATTATTGAAAACTCAGGGCATTTGCAGTGCATGGAAAAATGATTTAAGGCAATCCCTTTGTCCAGCCTCACTCTTCCCACTTCCCAAATTATGCTTTTCTCCATTTTTCACTACCTATTATGTGCATTGCTGTATGAAGGAGTGGGCACTGAGTGTCACTCACTCCATTTACAGAGTTACCTGTTTTACATCAGCATGAACTGTCCCTTTTCTTTTTGATCCTTTAACATAAAACTTGACCCGCATATAGTTTTCACCTTCCACTAAATACTCTTGGTAACTGTATCATAAAGGAATGGCAATGAAATAATAAAACATCCACAAATCCAAACAGCCTTAAAAATATATGAGGAGCCTACCAGACTCTATATCAGAATTACCTGTTGCATCATTTTAACAGACCATCATACGGTCATGTGATTGGTACTCAAGCCTTTGATTGAATACTACTTTCAATTGATACTGCCTTTATGGAAATTGTGCTTATTTCAGCAAAATACCATTTTGCATAAGGGGGAAAATCCCAGTACAAAAGAGAGAATTAAGAGGCAATCGCATTAACATGAGGTTGTACCACCACAGATAATTCTACCAACAACTGAAAACGAGGTTAGTCAAGCGATTGAGTTGTTTCAATGTAATAGCTAAGACGCTGACCTTATTTCCAGCAATCAAAGTGATCATGTGAATATCAGCTGTTAATCTTATTAGTACTTTAAATGCTCAACAAAAAAGGACCTGGCCCCCATTGTTCAGACGTTGGATAGTGCTATCCACCGGATAAATCACTATCCCGTATATAAGTATCACGGAAATCAATTACGCTATCCGCTGGATAGAGATTTATCCGGTGGATAGCGCTATTCTGCCTTTGAACAACCGGGGCCTGGTTAGTACTTTATCCATATTAAACTGTAAAAAAAAATGTGCTGCACTTCACTAGTGAGAGAAACAGTCATTAAAATTGGGTTTACAGACAATATCTTCAGCAGTGATGGTTACTATTAAAATATACCTGCCAACTCTCACGCCTTAGGCGTGAGTCTCACGCCTGCGGGTTGAAAACTTCGATCTCACGCCGGCTCACGCTTGCGGGCCAATTTCTCACGCCTGATTGAAAAATGTGAGTTGTAGCTGTCTTGCTTGACACAATTTCCAAAAATATGTTAACTCAGACCCATGTAAGGAACGAAAACCATGTGTAAAATGAATACATGACAATACCTTCCTCGCGATCTCTGATTTTGGAAGTGAAAAGCACTGGGAGCATGCTCGCATTTATACGCATCCTAAGACTGTGACTCAATAACCTCGCCTTCGGCACACTTCGGACGTCTTCAGGAATCTTCGGAAATGATCTTGTCATCTTCAAAAATCCCAGCACTCCCAGGATAAAAATCTCACGCTTATATCTCAGAAAAAGTTGGCAGGTATATTAAAATGCAAACTTAGTCTCCATTTAGTAGCTGACAGTGTACCCTACCTAACATGCCTCCTTCTTCCTCTTGATGTTGTTTCTCCATGCCCCATTATTGGTTCTCCAATTGCTTCAACAACCTGCAAAAGTAAGAAACATTAAATTAATGGCCATAATGTCACTGAGAAGCACTGGATAAAAATAATGCTTAACAGATGAAGCTTACCAACAGGAAACAAAAATGAGAGCAAATAAAGAGCAATCTTCCTAAAAACCAGGAGAAATATTGCTAGAAATAATGAGCAATGATGCTAACAAAAGAGAGTGCTTTTAGTAATTATACCTAATTCCCAACAGAAAGCAGTAATACTCAGGGGCACCCGACGACTGCTTTCTGTAAAATATCTGTTCGGAGAAGCAAATATTGCCTAGAATTTTCTATCTCTTGAGGACAACTTAAAAGTTCTAGATGACCGTTCCATTCAGGTACAATTTTCGAAGCTTGTAATAATAAATTCCCTACAATTTTCTGAAGTTTAATTTTTCACATTTCACACCCCAGGCTAGACCATTAATTTTGTAGGAAAAAGAAACCTAAAATTTTTGGATTAAAAAATTTTCATTTTCGTAACGCACTAAACTGCATCTACAATTTTTGGGAAAATAATACTTGCACAGCCCTTGCAATTTCGAAAAAGACTTCAGTTCCCCTAGGATGAACAGACACAAATTGTATAGAGACGCTATTAAAGCTCTCATTTGTAAAGGTCTAAAAGCACCCTGGACAGCCTAAAAACTGTTTAGTGTATTTAGAAGGAAATCGTCATTGGGTGTCCCTATAATACTGGCAAGGATCAAAAATAGCTTGTGTTCTATAGCCCATGTACAGCTGCCCGGATTCTCTCTTTTACCAAAAAAAGACAGCAACTGCATGACTGTCTTCACGCTTACCTCAGCATTTGCTTTAACCTTCTTCAAAGCATGTGCATAAACCCTGTTGGGACTGAAGCCCAAAAATAACTCACTTACTAAGAACCATAACAGTGCACCTAAGAAAAAGGAGAGAAAACATTACCTCTTGTTAGGAAATTGATTTTTTTTAAAAAGCCAGTGGTAAACAATATTGAACAAAATATAACCATCACGGATCTTAATTCTGGGAAGGGTTTTTGAAAAATATTGTAGATTCATTAAATGGTCAGTTGGGTGAGTTGAGTAACTTGGGTGACTTTTAGAATTTAGGTCACTTGGGTGACATGGCCAATGTGGGTAACTTGGGTCAGTAGGGTAACATGGGTGACTGGGGTGACTTGGGTGACTGGGGTGACTTGGGTGACTTGGGTGAGTAGGGTGACTATGGTGACTTGGGTGAGTTAGGTGAAAAGGGTGACTTGAGTGACTAGGATGATTAGAGTGACTTAAGTGACTTGGGTGACCCAGGTGTCTCGGGTGACTTGGGTGATTAGTGTGACTTGAGTGGCTAAAGTGACTTGGGTGACTAGGGTGACTTAAGTGACTAGGGTGACTTAAGTGACTAGGGTGACTTGGGTGACTAGGGTGACTTAAGTGACTAGGGTGACTTAGGTGACTAGGGTGACTGGGGTGACTTAAGTGACTAGGGTGACTTGGGGTGGCTAGGGTGACTTGGGTGACTTGGTTGACTATGGTGAGTAGCATGAGTTGGGTGACTAGTGTCACTTTGATTACTTGTGTGACTTAAGCGTTTTGGGTCAGCCAGGTTACAAAACATTTTGTGCAATAATAATCATTATTATTCATTCAAAATATTTCCCCTATTCTGATTGGCTAAAAGCACACGATTAATTCACTATGACCAGTTACTGATAACCAAATTTGTAAGAATTTTGACTTTAACGAGGAAATGACGTCAAAAATGCAGCATTTTCGCAGGTTAAGGCACCATTAACCGAGAAGACCTGGGGACGAGGTTGAGTTGTTTTGGTTGTGAACTTGAAATAATGGCGGACATTTCACTCGTTTCAAGAGTAAGAACTAGGTGAAAAAATAGCCAAAAATATGGCAAAAACAGCAAGAAGACAACTCGAAGGGCGACATCTGCTATTTGGAGAATATTTGCGGAGCTGGACAAACCTAAACGTACACTATCGAAGATGAACTGAACATTCAAAACAGTGACAAAGCGACCTCGTTTTCCTCTGTAGTGGTAAACATAGCTTCGAGCGTACAAAAGTCAGCTACAGTAAACCGCTTCGCAACAAATCACGCTGTTTAAACGCCATGAAGTCTTTTCTTGCCTTGAAAGTCATCAGCACTTGGATATTCGTGTATTTTAAAAAAGGCTTTACTATAAAACTTTGGCAAAACACCCATTTCACGACAGCGATTTTGTTCTGCTTTACATTCACCGCCTAGCGCGGTGAATATATAATATTATTATTCATTCAAAATATTTCCCCGATTCTGATTGGCTAAAAGCACACGTTTAATTCACCATAACCAGTTACTGATGACCAAATTTGGAAAAATTTGACTTTAACGAGGAAATGACGTCAAAAATGCAGCGTTTTCCGAGGTTAAGGCACCGTTGACCGAGAAGACTGGGGACGAGGTTAAGTTTTTTTTGGTTTTGAACTTCAAAAAATGGCGGACATTTCAGTCGTTTCAAGAGTAAGAACTAGGCGAAAAATAGCTAAAAACATGGCAAGAACAGCAAGAAGACAACTCGAAGGGCGACATTTGTTATTTGGAGAATATTTGCGGAGCTGGACAAACCTAAACGTACACTATCGAAGATGAACTGAACATCGATAGATCGATGGAGGTAAGCATGTTTTAGCTATGTTTTTAAACTAGGAATTATTTTGAATGAATAATAAAACAGTTATTGAATTCGGCTTTTGTATAATATGAAGAATTATGAAGATCTCGGAGGGTGTTATCCGCCTCGGCTTACGGCCTTGACGGATAACACCCCCCTCGATCTCCATAATTCTTCATAAGATACTCAGCCTCATTCATTAACTGTTAAGTATATACTAAACCACTGGATAGTGTTTTTCACATGCTCTTATCAATTGGCTACTCAAACTTGGGATATACAGTGCTATTCACATTGGAGTGATGCTAAACTCGCATAAGTTACAAGCAAAATGCATGGCTTCCTGGTTTACTTAAGTAAAATCAATTTTACTATAAACTGTAAGAAGCTGTTCATGAAAACACAAAGAGGGTGACAAAATTCAGTTTGCAGGTTTTACTGGTAAAACTTAGTCGGTTGAACCTACATTTATCGATGAAACCAAAATTTACTGAAAAAGTTTTTTGTTTTTAAATGCAGATTTTGTCCTTAGCTACTTTATTTTGCTCACATGTTAATAAATAAGCTTACAAGTAAAGTAAAATGTTTTTTTATAGAATAGTTTCAAATACAGAAAGATTAACAACTTCTTTTGAAGAAATGGCCCCGCAAGAGGTAAACAAATGCGTTCAAAAGTTTTATTTGCTGGAAAGAAAATTGGTTAGCTGTTTGGCCAATTGCCCATTGTAATTTTGCAAGCAATAAATGAGTTAAAAATCATAATGTTTGTGTTTAATTATCTCACTGTTTTAGTATATGCTTCATGGCTTGGTAAATTGCTACCACTAGCCACCTCCACTTCAGTGAGTAATTGTTATTTATTATCATTAATTATGGGGTATTGTTACATGTTAATAACCCACAGCAAATTTTAATATCCTGCCAGTAGAGATGCAAATTGAATGTAATTTTAAATCAAGTCAATAGCTTTGGTTTAATTGAGTTCTACTCGTCTGGTTAATTTTACAAACCAAACACTGAAAATTGCGGTATAAAAAAAAATAATAACTTGAGAACTTACCAGTAATTGCAAAGCCAATAAGAATAATACCAAAGTAGCTTACATCTTTTCCAGCTTGAACAACTGGAATCAGAGTAGTAATCAAAATAATTGAGATTATGATGAAAATAGGAGGACATAAATGGGTGCAATTTTTAAAAATACGGACAATATATAGCACTTTGAAGATTGCATCTAGGAGAGCCAAACATTTACATCCTCAAATGAAAAAAGTAACATTCCTCCATAACATGCCGGACCTCATTGGTAGTTTAAATACAGTAGATTCCTTGTTTTTTGAGCCCTCACTTTTAAATATTTTTTAAACCTTCCGATAATTCAAAACAATTTGCTTTTCCAAAGGTGGTTGAAAAAGTCAGGATTCTAATGTATTGTTATTGAAGAATGTTCATCTCTTATCATCTGCATGTAGGGATACAAAAGCACGACATCATAAAAGTTCACCAGGGGAAAGCAAGAGTACAGGGCGACCATCCGGACTGTTAGAGGCAATGTGATGTACACATGTGCTATGGGGAAGTAGCAACTAGGGTAAATTGTTGCTAATTCAAGTTTGATATGGCGTTTATATTATGTTCGACTACTTATTCCACATCCTTTGATGATGCTAATTTTGAGATTTCACACCAAAAAGGAACCACACAAATACATGTAAAACTTTCAAAAGGAAAACACCTTTTCTGAGAGGGACATCAGGGTTTGCAGTATTGAGGTATTTTCAAGCAGTATTTTGGTAATTGAGTTTTAATGTGGGATATTGAATAATTATTATTATCTACACCTGCAGTATAGCAGGTTTAATCTACGATGTGATTCAATGTTGTGGTATCTAATGACGGGGCTTTTGGATTTCTGTTATACTTATTCAAGGTCCTCTAACATATTCTCACAATAGCTGATGTCACTCAAGATGTTGGCGAAGTCACTACACTAGATGCATACAGCTTTAAGCAAGTGAGACTGACCCAAACTTTAACGCCAACCGTATGTTCGCAAATGTAGCTTGCGTCACAAGCATAATCTAAACCCAGGTTGGTAACATCTGCGAAGCAGCGCCAAGATCATTGTTCTGGTCCCCCAACAGACACAATAAATAACTGGAGGTGAATTTGAATTTCCCTTCATCCCCCAGAAAAATGTCATTTTTAGCCAACCATGCTGCATGCGCAAATCTTGGTCCACAGCTGGGGGTCAGAATAAAGATTTCGGAGCTGGAGCTCGCAGTCGGTCTTTCCCAGAAATTAAGTTTCGTATGCGGCGCAAATCTACCGGAAATAGTACGGAAATTACCCAACTATTATACACTCATTTTTACCTTTTGCTCCCACCGTCAGCTGTGTCTGTGGTTGCTCGCGGGACTCAACCAGCTCTTGAAAGACAGACGATCCTTCTGCCTTTTTATCATTGGATTTTTTCTCGGAGAGAAACCTCACAGAGGGTCTACAAGAAAAGAGTCCGCATTCTTTACACGCTGACAGACGGAGTTGCAGCGGTACAGCTACTGGTCCGACTAAGTGTTTGGCAAGATCTCCGTTCTTTAAAATCAGACGGAAAGCAGAGCTTTGTCTTATAATAAAGAGTCTTGAAGGAAGACGTTTTGGTAAAATTGCGCTAATATTTTTAAACGCAAGCATCGCTTCAATATTTTGCGAGCAACATAGACGCCATTTTGGATTTCAGCGTGCAATGCTCAGTGACGGGAAGACTGGTCAAGACGTGTCCAGACTCCCTGCTACAAATCCCGGACTGTGGAATTCCAAGAAAAAATTTGGGTATACCTCGCAAGGTTGTTCTCTTTTCAGTCTTTTTAGGGTTTCAGAAATGCTGTTCCATTCGCTACTAGAAGCTGCCTGAAATTCAAACCGGACGTTTTGGCTTATATCTAAAGCGTGCGTCTTTGCTTAAAATAAATGAATCATTTCTACGAAAATTTTTAAGCCATCCATTGTTTCCGCTCTGGTGCATGTTCTCAGAAAAATGAAACAATAAAAGACATTTGAGCTTTAATTTTTTTGTTTTTACATTGTAGAGTGGACTTCTCGACTTCTGACTGAAATGAGGACAAAACACAACCCTCTTTAATGCATGTGATAGCAGCTACAGTGTTTAGGTGTTAAGAGTAAAGAAGATCTAGTACAAACAACTATCTTCACTAAGCCTTTAGATCGAATGGGGGAAGATTGTTGAAAAATCAAGGCGTCTTATCGTTTTCAATCATTTCTGCTTAGCTGTTGCCCTTTGATCTTCCTAGGCAACCGTTGACAGAGAAAGGAAAATCCTACTCCTCCCGACTGTAGCTTAATTGAAGAGTTTGATCAAAAATAAAACACAAACAGCGGTGAACAGCGGTGATAAACATTGTGAGTTTTCGCATTTTTGTAAACTTGATGTTGAAGAGCCTCTACTAGCAGGGAATTTATTGTCAGGACCTTTGGCTCGGGTGAGGGGGGGGGGGGGGAA